TGGACGTAAAAACTTTTAGCACCTACCCAGATTTTATAAAGTTGGACAAATACTGCATAATGACTAATGAAAGAGTCTTCTCTTCCTGCGTATATTGGTTTTTATACTGAGGATAAAAGGGTAGGCCAAACGCAAGCTGAACATCAGGAATATATTCCAGGCTTGAGCTGAAAACAGAAAGCAAGAGAGTGAGTAAAAACATTGTAACTTTACTTAATTTACTAAATAGCACTTCCATTTAAAAAGGGGGGGACAGATATCTCACAGATTTTGTTTATTTAATTATCATATTATTTGTTTATTTTATTATCATGTTTTTGTTTATTTAATTTTGTTTATTTAATTATCATATTTATGATATGAGCTGTGGTGGCGCAATGGTTAGAGTGCAGTACTGCTGGCTACTTCTGCTGACTACCGGCTGACTGCAGTTCGGCAGTTCAAGTCTCACCAGGCTCAAGGTTGACTCAGCCTTCCATCCTTCCAAGATTGGTAAAATGAGGTCCCAGATTCTTGGGGACAATACGCTGACTCTGTAAACCACTTAGAGAGGGCTGTAAAAGCACCGTGAAGCAGTATATAAGTCTAAGTGCTGTTGCTATTGCTAGATAGCAGCCCGTCTGATGAGAAGCGACTCCAGAAGGCACACAAGAAATAAAAATAGAAATAGAAATACTATAAATATAAATAATAAAAGTCTCAAAGCTTTCAGGATACATTTTTTGAAAACGCAGACCTTTCCCTCTCGACCTTTTCAGGTTCCTATTCCATTCTAAGTCACCACAATCTGGATTGTCATCAGGGATGTGGTGTTTTTTTTTTTAAATGCATTTGGCAAAGGAATTCAAAATAGAAGAATGGAAATAAGATTAAAACACTGTTTCTCATCTCTGAATGTTCACACAAGGATCTGTTTTTATAATAAAAACTTGGAGATGAAAGAAAGGTTTTACACTTTATTCCTATGTTTCCCCTGAATAAATAAATCAAAGTCGTGGCTGAGAAACTAACTGGTTATATCAGGAACTGTAGCATGCTATAAAAAAAAGGCATGAATCTAACTACAGGCAATCCTTAACTTATGACCAATCACTTAGTGGCCGTTTGACATTTGAAGTTATGATGGACCAACTTTGTGGCCATTTACTACTGAGATTCAAAATTCCAATTGAATTTCAGGTGTTCAGCAACATGGATACATTTACAACCATTGGCAGCGCCCTATGGCTCAGTGGCTAAGATGCTGAGCTTGTCAATCAGAAGGTCAGCAGTTCGGTGGTTCGAATCCCTAGCGCCACGTAATGGAGTGAGCTCCCGTTACTTGTCCCAGCTTCTGCCAACCTAGCAGTTTGAAAGCATGTAAAAATGCAAGTAGAAAAATAGGGATCACTTTGGTGGGAAGGTAACAGCGCTCCGTGCGCCTTTGGCCGCATGACCATGGAGACGTCTTCGGACAACGCTGGATCTTTTGCTTTGTAATGGAAATGAGCACCTTTCCCTACAGCCTGAAACAACTAGCACATATGTGCGAGGGGAACCTTCACCTTTACCTTTATGGTCATATGACTGCATTTTATGATGGTTTTGTTGAAAACCAGAATTTATTTCTAGTTTTTTGCATTGGTTTGCTTAATGACTTCAGACTGGCTTCATGACCACCACCCCACACAAAAAAAGATTGTAAAATCAGATTGGTCACGTGACACTTTACAACTTATGACTTACGGCTATGATGAGCAGGCTCCATTATAAGCCATAAATTGAGGATTACTGGTATGACTATCATCCATTATGGTTACTATAAGCAGAGATATATAGCATCTGTATAGGAGTCTGTAAGATTCCTTTGAATCCCTACACTTATCCTTGTAAAATATAGGCCTTACATATCTTTCACCATTAGGGTAATTTATGGCAAAAATTGAGTATGACTTCGATGTATTTACTTCTGATTTTACTTTGGTAAAACCATACTAGGAATACTGTATCCAGTTTTGGTCACCAAGATGCCGTACAAAAATGATGTTGGGATTCTAGAAAGAGAGCAGAGGAAGAGCAAGAAAGATGATTAAGGTGCTGGAGGATAAAATATGGTGAATGATTGACGCAATGTGTAGGTATGTCTACTACTCTAATGAAGAGATGGATCAGGGGGTGACATGACAGCAGTGTTCCAGTACTTTCATCACTTGAGACTTTCAAGAAGAGATTGGACTGCCATCTGTCAGAAATGGTGTAGGGTTTCCTGCTTGGGCGGGGGGTTGGACTAGATGACCTACAAGGTCCCTTCCAACTCTGTTAATCTAATCTAATCTAATCACAAAGGAGAGGTGATTAATCTATTCTCCAAAGCACCTGAAGGCAAGACAAGAAGTAACAGATGGAAACTGATCAAGTAGAGATCCAATCTAGAACTAAGGAGAAATTTCCTGACAGTTAGAACAAATAATGAGTGGAATTTCTCGCCTCCAGAAGTTATGGAGGCTCCAGCACTGGAGTTTTTTTAAGAAGAGATTGGACAGCCATTTGTCTGAAATGGTATTGGATTTCCTGTTTGAGCAGGGGGGTAGACTAGGAGACCTCCAAGGTGCTTCCAACTCTGTTATTCTATGTATCCTAACTCCAACTATATTGAGTTACATAAATATATCCCATAAAGGAACTGTACCCTTGTGCTATATATAATACATATACAGTATAATGAACAACACAATGACACATTTATAGCATACCATGATGCATTTGTTAATCTTCAAAATAAACTACAAGACTGTAAATCAAACTAACATAAATATTTATTTGGGGATGAACAAACAGATATTGAAGGTTAACATATAATGCTAAATCACAAATCTTCATTGATATAGTTTAGATGTAACACTGTGCAATAAACCAAGATTTACAGTTCACCATAGTTAACCTTTCACACTGGCTGGTGTTTATTATATTTATGTTTGTGAATAGTTGGAACTCTTAACAAAATTCATTATATACTTTTCATTCTCTTACAGACCACGGATCTTAAACTTTATTTCACCCTGAGAGTTGGCATTCAGACATCAAAAAAACTGAATTTTTTAATGAATGCCTCATGGTGTATAACCCATAAACTTTCCTCTTTTTTTCCACAGCACATTTCCAAATTTCATTGTTTAACATCGAATGATCTCATTAGAAGACGTTCAACTTCTGCCTAGAAAAACACATTGGGAAAGCAATAGAATAGGATGTAAATTATCTCACTGCTCAAAAGCAGCGAGCCCTAAATTTTCATTTACAACTATATTTTGGGCGTGTGTCTGCACTAGTGTGTGTGAGTCAGGGTGAGGTCTTTTCTGCAGAAACAAAAACAAGAAGCTGCTATAATTCATTTCTAATTCAAAAATGACCAGAAATGCAGTTAAAAATAGAACCGTTGATCTGAAATTAACCTCGTCTTTTTTGCCTAATTCCCTGAAAATGTCTATTTCTGCCTGTCTATAACTGTCTGGTTTGGTTCTGCAACCCAACAAGACAGACATAGACTTCAGAGGATAATTAGGACTGCAGAAAAAAACAATTACTACCAACCTGCCTTCCATCAGAACCTGTATGCTGCACGAGTCAAAAAGAGGGCTGTGAAAATATCTACAGACCCCTCACATCCCGGACATAAACTGTTTCAACTCCTCCCCTCAAAATGATGCTATAGAGCACTGCACACCAGAACGACTAGACACAAGGACAGTTTTTTCCCCAAAGCCATCACTCTGCTAAACAAATAATTCCCTCAACACTGTCCAACTATTTACAAAGTCTGCATTACTATTAATCTTCTCATCACTCTTTATCACCCATCCCCTCCCACTTCACAGCCATGTTACTAACTTAACAATTGTGGCAATTCACTTAACAACTGCGGCAAGGAAGGTTGTAAAATGGGGCAAAATTGAACTTAACAACTTTTTTGCTTAGCCACAGAAATTTTGGGCCCAATTGTGGTCGTAAGTCGAGGACTATTAACTGTAAAAACAACTTAGTCCCTTCACTGGGTAGCAAGCTTCTAACTGATGTAATTTAACATTTAGACTTCCAGGAAAGGGGGAAAATAACAAAGTAAAATAAAAATAAAACCAATAGTTTGACCCTCAAAATCAAGATAGCAAACTCTATTACTATTAGTATTAATCTTCTATCACTCCTTATCACCCATCCCCTCCCACTTGTGACTGTATGATGTAACTTTGTCGCTTGTATCCTAACGATTTACATTGACTGTTTCCTAGTATGATTTGATTGCTAATTGTACCCTATGACTATTATTAAGTGTTGTACCTTATGATTCTTTACTCTTGATGAATATATCTTTTCTTTTATGTATACTGAGAGCATTTGCACCACGACAAATTCCTTGTGTGTCCAACCACACTTGGCCAATAAAGAATTCTATTCTATTCCATGTTCTGTTCTGTTCTGTTCTGTTCTGTTCTATTCTATTAACAAATGTGGTGATAAAAGTCGTAAAATGGGTCAAAACTCAGTTAACAAATTTCTCACTTAACGGTACAAATTTTGGGCTCAATTGTGGTCGTAAGTTGACCACAACTTACCTTTAAACATCAAATTTGAGAGGATTCGGGTTCGTTTTAAGCATGTTCTATTTGAAATGGTTATAAACATTTATGTAACGTGCAGAAATTCTACAATTTGGACACAGTAAGGGACGGTGGTTACAAGTAGTTCTTAACTTAGGACCTGGAATTATGGTCGTAAGTCCTGCCAGTTGTTAAGCAGTTCACCTTGTGATAACGCCCAACCTTTTTTTGCCACACTTGTTAAGCAAATCACTGCAGTCGTTAAGTGAATCCAGCTTTCCCCATTGACTTTGCTGGTTGGAAACTGGGTCATAAATCATCTGACCCAGAGAGGCTGCAACTGTCAGAATTGCTGGTTGCCCAGAGTCCACATTGTGCTCATGTGGCTACAGAGATACCCTGATGGTCATAAGTATGAGAACCGACCATAAGTCACTTTTTCCAGTTCTGTTGTGACTTTGAATGATTGCCAAAGGCAGTTAGTCATTTTCCAGATTAATTGGCTCTACCACTTTATCCGCTGCTGAATCGTAATGCAACCGTTTTGCAATTCTTTGCTACTTCCCTATGAATTTTTCACACTGATGCAATAT